TTGTTCTCGCACTGACGCAATCGTACTCCTCGCTAAGGTTTTTCAAACTCGTTCCGAACGTTTTCTAAAATCGGTCAAATCCCACTTCTGATGAATGTTAGCGTCCTCTATCCCGCTTTTGGTAAAATTTAGGGTGTCGCCGGTATGGCCGTAAAAAGGTGAAAATTGATAGAAGACACAACACACGACGTACGCACTGTTAAGAAAATGTAAACAAAAGAAGGCTGTATTTCATTTAAAAAACTAGGTTACAATTATTACTCGCGCAACCGTTCAATTCCGCACATCGCACAACGCACAACCGCTCAAGTCGCTCGCAATTCGCAGACTCTTGTTCGCTCGCCGTTCTCGCTGCGTCTCTGGCTCTTCCCGCGCTTTCTCGTTTTCTCCTCTCGACCACAGATCCGAGCACACATACGCGCACGCTGACACAAACACGCACGCACCACACACACACACACACACACGCACGTGCACAAATTGTTCCACGAAGTCAGTGGGGGAAGTCCGTCGCTTCGCCATTCGGGGAAACAGAGTCGAACGTCCCACAGGCCACGGATGCACAAAGCAGCATGTTTTCCTCTACTTGCACCCGAACTGGCAAGGTGCATTAAAGCGGGCCGCCGCCTTTGTGCTGACCCGGCGCCCGCAGGTCTGGGAGGCTCGCCGATCGCTGCTGCCCGTAAACAAGGAGGACGGCCCCCTCGAGTGACCAACGGACACTCGCACGGCACAACACACGCAAAAAGAAAGAAATAAAACAAAACTTAGAAGATTTGAGGCAGTCGCGTACAAGTTATAGCGTCAACGAATTATTAAATGCAAAGCATTTCTCAGCGAACTTCGGCGACTTTGGTCGTATGTGTGTATCTATCTAACTAGCCGCCTACGACTTTAAACGCTCCTGGCCATTTAATTAATGGGATCTGTACCAAAACCGGTATGACATCACATGGCTGTATGTCGAGCATAAATAACAAGTCATAGCATGATAATCACGATATGCATGTCATGAATGTTATGATATACATTAAATGGCCTTGCTGCTCTTTTGGTGGTTCCTTCACGTGACATAACGCAAAACTGCTATGGTACGGCATGACTGCAGGGCGAACACAAGTGACAGGCCTTAACGTACAATCATGGCAAACGTGTCATGTAAGAACATGACAACAAGCCGCGGTCATTATGCACTCACTGACGTTTTGCTGATTTCACATATACCAAGTTTGCTATTACGTGGCGTGAATGAATGACGAAGGTATATGACTGGTGCGAACACGATAATAATGACTTGCGTGTCATGGAAAAACGTGACTACGCACCATGCTCATGGTGCGCTTGCGGTCATTTCACTAGCTTCACATATACCAAATTTTGTATTCAGAGACGCGCGTGGACAACGAAGTTAAATGACACGTACAAACATGATAATCATGACATGCGTGTCATTGTAAACATGACTGCATGCTACGCTCATAATGTGTTCGTGGCCGTTTCGCTAGTTTCACATATACCAATTGTGGTGTTATGTGAGTCATTGGTTAAAGGGGACTAGTGGAGAGATATGTTTGTAGGCTGCGTTTATATTTCTCCTCGTAGATGGCCTATCATGCGCACTAGCGTGCCGGCCACTTGTAACAATTAGATTAAGCGCTGACAGAAAAGTAGCATGAAACTTGCGTCATCAAAAAAATGGTAGATGTGATATACCGTGCATGAGAATCGATGTTATATGAAGCATGCGGAGAGAAGGCGAATTTGGTGTAATCTTATGAAGCACAACGTTACGAAATGATGCTAAATACATGCACAAATCTTGTACGCACAGATATAAGTCAACCAGTCATATATGTTTTATTTAACCAGTTTACAGCTGCATAACGGATGTTGACAGCAACATGTGTGTTACGAACACCAGGAGCGGTAGGCTCATATTTCGAAGTGTCGAAGCTTGGGCTAGTTGGTATTACATGACGATAGTTAAAGTGCGAGAACAGAACGATGACACGAAGACAAGAAAGACATGAAGGACACGAGCGCTTCTCGTCTCTGTGTCGTCGTTCTGTTCTCGCGCTGTAACTATCATCATGTCATATCTCGAGTTTGTGCTTATGAGGATGGTGAACGTCATAGAACAACGTAGAACTTTAGTTGATGTTGGTTACAAATAAATTGGCGTTAACCCTGCATCACGACTGCACCATAGCAGCACATACGTAATCTCAATAAAACTAGTCAGTCCTACACTCACAAATAAAGTTTCCCCAACATTTCGACTTAATAGGATCTTGTTCGAAAGCATTCCCGAGACCTTCCATGGCTCTATGGTAGAATACTTGATGGCCTCGTGGAATACTTGGATTATATCTCTGCTGAAATTTTGATATTTATTCTTTGAATTCTCCTGGTCAGTGCTCGATAATGGGAGTTTTCTTTTTAAGTTTTCGCGTTTATATTGCCTACGTCTGCTCTCATCGTTCCTAGTTAGATACAAACTATAAATTTCCTGCGGTGCATACCCGCTTACACCGTGGCCCGTGGGATACGGAAATGTGCTAGGCGTGGCAGAAGGAAGACTCGAAAATGCGCATGACGGAATTTCCACGATATTTATGTCATGATGACTCAGACATATTGGTCAAAAGCTATTATCAGGCGAAGCTTTTTATGAACTACCCAAAGTATGTGGCCATGACAGAAGCAAAACGTATTCGGCTTGATAGGTAAATAGGTAGATCGATGTTTAAATATAAAAACCTTAATGTTTCTGCTGTTGGCTAATATATACTTCAGATTAAAAAAAAAGCTTGTGGTGATTGACGACTGGATGTTGGGTACATCCAAACGATGTAAAAAGCTTGAGAGGAGCTTGGCGAAATACGAAGGAGAGCAGCAACATTGAAATTGTTCAGCGAGTAACGTTAACGTGTATTCGGCGAATTTGAAAATGTTGTTTTAAACCTACGGGATAACTTAAGACGACAGCTTTGAACAAAGGGCAACGAAATGTTCCATACCAGAGAATAAACTGCTCTAAATGTGGAATACCAAGAATTGTTGATGAAGAGTATATGCTTTGATAAGTTGTGTTCCCAAGCTCAAACAAATCTAAGGATGCTATTTTGTTTATGAAAAATTGAAGCTCTGATTGTTTTCCTCTTTATTCTGACACATGATCATCTCGTAATCAGCTTTCAGAATAAAGCTCTACTGGCTGAGTGACAGCGAGCACGCACAATGGTTACAAAAAGAGGGCATAACGCTGTACGAATACGCTCGAGAATACACTATAAAGGCAAGTGAGCAGTTTTTTTTTATTTTGCACTCGCACGGTGAAGGTCCCGGAGGTACACTAGTAATCAATGTTTTCGCATGAAAAGTTTGGCTATATCTTCATAACAGCTTCGTCCACGACTTTCCTCAAATATTGTCTTTCTGTGATAATAATTAACCATACTGTAATTTCTTGAAACGCATGATACGTCACAAGTAATCATTGATATATTTCTTACTGTGATCGACGAGATATTACTTTTGAGAGAGCTACTCTAAATTTTCATGCTTATTTTTAATACTCCATCATAAGTGCGCTTGAATCTTAGAAAAGCAGGTTTTGTTATATTTATTGGGCCTCATGTATTTGTCATTAATATAGTCTGAAATAGTCTATCTTACTCTTTCAGTAATAGCGCACAACGCTAAATCCTTGACAAAAGTTTTGCCTTCACAGCAATGCTGAGTGCCAAAGTCTTCAAAAGTTCACTTTTTAAGATGACAGTTGAACAGAATGGATCTTAAGGCAACTGAATCATACATGTTTGCTTGCGTCGGCTCCAGTGACACGTCATGTTGAAGAATTGTCTTTTCAAGCTTCCTTCATCAGCTTTCTACCTTCTTATGTTATGTATGTGGCGGTTGCCAGCTTGCTCTTTCCCTCTTTCCTTTGTGTATAGAAATTGAAAAATAACAATAATATTATTAGCAATAATAATAAAGTAATGATGAAACTAATAAGAGTAACAATACTATGAATAATAATATTTTAGAGTATTAATCATATGCGTTTTAACGTCATGTGTGTCATCTTTTGCAACCAGGAGATACCAATAAGAACCTCTCGTCAATGTTTCATGAGTAGTGTTTGTTTTACCACAAAACATAATTTTACTGAATATTTTTAGTGCATCTTTATCAAAAGTGTAGCTGCGTTACCTTCCTTTTTAGGAACTTGCTCGCCAGCTTTTTATGCTCGCGCCTTGTCCATTGTCGGCTGCCTGTAAACTAGTTCTCGTGTGAACTATCTCACAGCTGAACTCCCTCTGGTGAGTAACAAGAGTGGAGCCACGTGCTCTCGGCGCCGTGTGATCTAGTTAGATAGTTGCCCGCTTGACGGCCGCTCATGTATACAGCACTCGCGCTTAGTGCACTTCCGCTTCGCTGGGAGATAATGAACACCCCAGAAGCCATGGTAGCGGCGCGGTGGGCTTTTAACGCAGCCGCAGCTCTAGCATGCCGCCAAGACCTTGCGGTGGGAGCCCGGAAGCACGAAGCGAAGAGGGCTTGCCGTCAAGCAAACCCGTCACATCCTTATATGATGGAAGAGGAATGTGCACGGAAAATTCGATGTTTACGCAATCATTTCCGAGCAAGTACCTCTAACATCATTCACTTCGTGCATATTGTGATGATTTTTTGTTATAGCGGTTTTTTTGTAATGAGTGGTCCTTCTGAAATTGTATATACCTTTCCATCGTATAATACGTAACTCACTTGAAAGTTTAAGAAGTTATAATGATGATCTTGCGTTCAATCCAATTATAGACTTCCCAGATATTCCTCAAGCTTTTTCCACCTGGTTTCATCAAGTTATTGGGAATTGAGCTGCATGAACTGGTAGGTTAATTTACATTGACAAATATGTATTCAAAAAAAAGGAACAAATATTACAGAGCGGCGATGCATTAACGAGTACAGGAGAAGTAAGATGTATACAGGCGTTGGCGCAGTTGATCGACTTTGCAATGAAATGGCCTCATATTTGGGCTGCAGATGTGTTTGCTTTCATAACACGGTAAGCTGTACTATTTTTCACTCGTTTTGATATTGCTTACCCAGCGTGTATACATTATCTGTGTTACGGTGTTTCGAATCGTTTAGTTGAAGCCGAGGCTAGGGGAGTTTGTCTGAAAGTTTGAAAGCTCGAAACGTGTTTTTTTCCCTCTCACTTCTACATCCTGAGTAGTACAGAAGGAAGCATTTTTATCATGCGCGTCACAAAGGCAGTTTTCAATTTGAAAGAAATGTAAAAGTGCTGATAATAGAAAGTACACTCAGCCTGTTCCGAGATCTGTGTACTATAAGGCGGTAAATGGTGCATATCAATAGGTCACCGTTATAAAACTGGCATAAACATAGTACGTGGCCATGTTTGCTTGTACTGCGAAGCGAGGGATCACTGATTCAAATCACCGGTATTTTTATTTGAAATTTTCCTATTGATTTGTTTTTCTTTTGTGTCTTTTTACATATATAGGTACATATGTACCTATATATGTACATATGTTGCAATATAATAAAATATTTAGGCGTAACAATATCCAGTAATCTAAATTGGAGGACCCATTTGGAAAACATATGTGTGGTGGCGGAAAGAAAACTATGGTACTTGCGAAGAAAATTAAGACTTAATTGCTACGACTCCCGTTAAGCTAGCAGCATATCTTACGTATATTCGGCCAACATTGGAATATGCCAGCATTGTGTGGGATCCCTCGGAAATCGGCCTCTTTAATATGCTAGAAAGAGCACAAAGGCGAGCTGCTAGGTTTATTCTTTCAAAGCACTCCTCGACTGAGTCAGTAACAGAAATGCTACGCTCTCTTCAACTGCCCACTTTAGCCGAACGACGGGAATTGGCAAGGATGAAGTTCTTGTTTTTATTGTCAAAAAATTAGTTAAACATAAACACAACAAAATACTTAACGCCACACCGCGGAAGAAACCTAGGAAGTGTTAACGATTGCACATACGAAGTGCCACAACAGCGTGTCAATGTATATGCGAATTCATTTTTTCCAAAAACAATTCGTCAGTGGAATGCTTTGCCATTACCACTGGTTCATTGTGATTCACTGAAAAAATTTGAGGAAGGGCTCAAAGATATTTTTCTGTAAGCATGGTCTACTATGTTAATTTATTGCAATTTATTTGTATCCTTACTTCGACTGCACTGTTTTTCCTTCAGCCTCAATGCCGGTGTTGCCAATGTATGTCATGTAACCTTTCCAAGTTCAAGTGTTGCTGTTTAAATTGTTGTATGATTTGAATGTATTGATGTTTGTCATTCTTAGTATGTCCCACCCCTGCAACAGCCGAAAGGCTAACAGTATTTGGAAAATAAATAAAAATAAAAATATGTATATTAGTGAAATGACGGTAAGACCAAAATCAGCAGATAGTGTCTACATGATTGCTATCGCAATAAAACGCGGAGGAGACGAACAAAGACATAGAATAATTTTATGCTTGAAATACACCCTGACGTACGTTACTAGAAACTGCTAAGTAGACAAAGTGAAACAAACAATAAACTTTACTTACGATGGAAAGTAAGCATTGCGTGTATCTAAACGCCTAACATTCATTACTACTCAAACAAATTTTCTTTCTCAACTACATAGCCCGCATTCCTCAAAGAATTCGAACAATGTAACTACCTTCATGGCTCTTTCCAGTTCATTACTCGATTGCTTTCACCGCTGAAAGTAATTCGACAAAGGATAAAGCATTTTGATATGATTTAGCTTGAAATACGTTACTTAAGTGCGTCTTATCTCGTAAGGTCCTTTCATAGGCATCTTATATTGGCTGCGGTATCTCCTTCTTTGTTCAATGGACACATACAGGCTTCAGCTATGTTCCATAATCTGCACATCTTGCAAGTTTGCATTATTTGAATACACATTGTTTTTAAGTACCATGACAACAAATACAAAGCACTTCGTGCATGAAATAATCAATGAAAAGCTTGTCCTGACAACAGCTTCACTTCACGCTATGCTGGCTGCAAGCAGCTGTAGCCAGAGTAGAAATGATGACCATTGTTTAGTCTATTAAAGCCCTTTATTATATCTATGATTTTCTTCTTAATGACCAATCTGAGCAATCTCCGGTACATTTTTAACCATATATTTGATGCCGTTTCGAGATAGTATTGACAGTCTTCTAACTGCAAGGTGGCTTAATTTTGCCGAGATTATCGTTATTTTTACGTAAACAATAAGCCCTGATTTGAAACCGAAATAGGGACGATAGTTATAGCGCGAGAACAGAACGAGGACAAAGAGACAAGAAGGAGACGAGCGCTAAAATCCAACTGAGTTTATTGCGCAGAGGGCGAAAAATATAGAGGAGACAGTAAATCATGTGACAAAATCATGTGGCACAAAGAGCAATGGATGAGTAAAAAAAGCACAGGAAAAGGCAAATAAAAGATTAGGAAACGAAACAGAAAAGTAATACTAAAAGTAATATAACCACTTGCGTGCACTGAAACCTTCGAAGAACCTTAGTTCCTTCTCTGACAGTGACACAGAGGGCTTGCTATTGCACGACACTTGTTCTCGTGCCATCTGCGCGGCCTCGACGATAACTCGGGTGCGCTTAGCTCTGTGCTTATACAGCGTCACTGTATCCTTGAAAAGGGGCACACAGTTGCACTCAGTGCAGTGCTGAGCTAGAAAACCAAATTTCCCTGTTTCTAACATTGTTAGCGTGTTCTCTCAGTCGATCGTTCAGGCACCGTTCGGTCGTTCCGACATAACAAGCACCGCAGGAAAGGGGGGTCCCATAGACAACTTCCCGGGAGCATGCCAGATACCTGTTTCTACCCTTAACACTACATTCGGTTGATGACTGCGTTTTCAGGGGGTTTGGAGATTTGGTGAGGCTGATTTATTTCAACGGTGCATAGAACAGCAAACGAACTTCCACCCGTTTTTTTATTCTTTTAGCCTGTGTGATGTCTGGTGTTTGTACGGAACAACGGCTATCCTTTCACGCTCAATATTCATGTTGCTCGGATCATGTCCCTGCCTCTGATCTGCCCCATTGGTCCGCAGGATAGTCTTAGCAACAGAACCGATAAACGCCTCAGGAAAACCCGAAGCCATAAGCCGGGACACTTGAGCTTTGAAGCTCGCAGAGATGTTGTGAACGCAGGACCTGTTCAAGGCAGGCTCAAGGCAGGTCCGTGCTATGCCTTGTTCTACTTATTTCCTGTGAGCGCAAGAAAAAGGAAGTAAAGGTTTCTGCACAGGTGGTTCATAACACCAACAAATATGCTGTGTGCTAAAAAACAGTCTTAAATTCAAAAGAAGCGTAAGTTGTAATTCTCGGACATTTCATCTGTCAACACAAGAGGCTTTAAACAATCTTCAAACACGCCTATCGTTTGAGCCGCTATCGAGTGGAACATAGAAGGTTACAATTTACAAGAACCAAAAAGTCATCCACGTATCTGAATACTTTGACGACATGCGTGCCCTGTCATTTTTTCTGCAGTTTATTGCCCATTTTTGCAAATTGTAGATCACTGAGTAGAGGTGCTATGTACCTTTTTTTTTAAAGAGAAATGGAATCATTCCATTGAACGAACGTAAAGGTAAGGTACAGCAAAACAAGGTCAAGGAAATATCGTGCACTGATGCCAGTTTTAATAAAGTTCAGTTCCCCTATGACCTCTATGTTATCCCTTATACATGCTAATACCTCATCGTGAGGCAGTGAGTAGTATAGGTTCTTTATGTCAATTGAAAAAAACCAAATTTATTAGTTATTTGACTGTTTCAAAATTCTATCCATGCCTGCGAGGTTTTGATTAGAAATGGCTCATAGGTCGTTAGGCACTTTAGATGGGTCTGAATAAACAAGCCGAGTTGCTTTTGCCACGTTCAACTTTCTGTCTCAATGACTCGGAAGGGCATGTCAACTTTATGTGTTTTGGCAGAAGAAAAAACGTACTGAGCCTATTTTTTTTTTGCTTTTACTAACATGCTGTGCAAACTGTTTCAACTCTACTTTAGGACACATTTCCTTGGCTTGCGTTTTTACTCTATCATTCACTCTATCATACTCTATCATTTACTTGGTTTGCGCGTTAATTTATCAAAATGAATGTCAGTACAACATTTGAAAACCGAGCCAATAGCTGTGACCGCCTTGTCTAGGTACAAGCAATTAGGAAGAACAGCGAAACCACCCTCCTTATCTGAGGGCACGACACAAAGTTCATTATCTCTCAGAAACATGGCCGTCTTCCGCAACGGAAGGCTGGTGCTGGTAGGCTTACCCCGTAGGAGCACGTCGACGCCTTCTGAGATGAATCTGTCCGAATCCTCTGGTGAGGCGCAGTCATCAACAGAACGCACCATTGAAAGAAGCTCGCGTGCAGACCCGTCTCTGTCGACGGTGAACTTCGGACCTAGGGCGAGGGTGTTGTGAACGTAGTCTGAGAGAACGACACCACTGCAAGAGTAGACCACACCCGATTGCCGGGATTCTGTTGGGCACTGCGCTAGAAAGCTAGCTAGAAAGCTAGCAGCTGGCGAATATATGCGGAAGGGAAGGTGAAGCTCTTGGACTAGGATTCAGTGTAACGAAGTGTGGATTGATGGTATTCAATGATCCCTGTGATCAGACGGTGTCCATACAAGGCCAAGAAATACCGAGGGTAAGTGAATACAAGTACCTTGGAGTATGGGTAAATGAGAGTGATAGATACATGGAGGTACAGGAAAAAAGCCTCGGCAGCAAAAGGAAAGAGGAATGCGGCAATAATGAAGCACAGAGCGTTGTGGGGATACAATAGGTATGAGGTGCTTCGAGGTCTGTGGAAGGGTGTAATGGTTCCAGGGCTTACTTTTGGGAACTCAGTGGTGTGCATGAGGGCAGAGGTGCAATCGGGAATGGATGTAAATCAAAGGACTGTGGGACGCCTCGCGTTGGGTGCTCACGGGAAGACGACAAACGAGGCTGTAAAGGGCGATATGGGGTGGGCAGGTTTTGAGGCGAGGGAAGCGCAGAGCAAAATAAGGTTCGAAGAAAGGCTAAGAAATATGAAGGAGAGTAGATGGGCAGAGAAGGTGTTCCGTTATTTGTATAGGAAGAGCGTGGACACACAGTGGAGAAAAAGAACTAGAAGACTCACTAGTAAATATACGGCTGGTATTGTGAGCCATATGTCAACAAAGAGCGTTAAGGGAAAAGTCAGGGAGGCGGAGAGGATTTACTGGATGGCAGCTATGGAGAAAAAACCGGCTTTGAGTAACTACCGAAAGGGCAAAAATGAAATAAGGAGGGAGGCATTTTACGATAATTCAAGGGGAAGCGCTTTACTGTTTGAAGCGAGATCGGGTTGCCTTAGAACGCGTAGTTATAAAGCAAGATTCAGTAAAGAAGAAGAACAATGCACATGCTGCGGGAAAGATAAGGAAACGGCGGAGCATGTTCTGATTGAATGTGGAGATATCCACCCAGGTGTACGTTTGGGCACGAGCCTACAGGAAGCCTTGGGTTTTAGGGACAACAATGGAAAGCTGAACACACCCGCGATTGAAATAAGTAAGAGACGGTTAGAGTATTGGTGGCAGAAAATTAGAGAGAAAGGACAAAAATAAATATTGGAAAAATACAATATGGACAGTGTGCCGTAAATGGCAGAGAACTTAAGCTGAAAATTTACCTTTTTTTCCATTAAGATAGAATTTATCGAAGTAGAGGCATTAGGCCAACATAAAAAAAGAAAAAAAGGTTTTTTTTTTGTCGAGCCTGGTGGCATACTTGTCACCACCCCGTTATAAAGGGGACGCTCATAGCATCCATCCATCCAGCTAGCTCACGCGACCACAAGCTGTTTGCAGCGTGTTCGATTCGGTCTGCGCAAGTTGGTTAGCTCACACGCGACCACAAGCTGTTTGCAGTGGGTTCGATTCGGTCTCAGTACTTTCACCATCTTTTTTTTTTCACTTCCGGTGAAAGATCTGTTTGTTGAAGCTGGACAAACAGGGCCTCACGGTACGTGCGCTCTTGTCGGTGCCATTCAGACCACAGAATTTCACACACCCGTATACCATGGCCGATAGATGGGTGGTAACCTCCAAACAAGGCTTTAACGTTCAGAGGCAGGTGCTTGGTGCGAATGCAGAAGGTGAAGGTGCGCGCACTGCAAACGGAGACTGCGAGGGGGGTTATGAGGACTGAATGATGAAGTGAAAGTCTCGAAAAAGAGCCCGAATAACTAGAAATGTAGCTTTGTCATTGTTACATTCTAGCGCTATAACTATCGTCATGCCATACCAACTAGCCCAAACTGCCACACTTCTACGAAACAGCGAGCTTCTTCGTGCTGACTGTGAGATGAAGTCTCGGAATATGATACACGCTGGCGTGGCTGGTCTGGTGCAAACATGACTATGTGCTTCCTCTGTTGCACGAAAAGCAAGCTTAGCGATGTCGTCTGACACAGAATGCAGTTGTAAGAGCCCGTTTAAACTTACCAGTGACAAACTCAATGATGACTGCAGCCCCCATCTGAGCGTCCAAGTATGTCCGTTTGACATAGTAGCTAACGTACGGCACGCCGTAGAGGATTCAAGTAGCTCACGTGCCCTGCATCAATATCATGGTTCCTCACTACTGCATGTGCTTACTATCAGAACCACTGTACTTCATATGCAGCTAAGAAAACCGAACTGTGCCCTCGTCGTTGTCGCCTCGTAGAAGAAAGAGCACGCTGCATTCATCTAGAGGTGGGATTGGTCAACACTAAGCACAATACGTCACATACACATGGTTTCCCGCGCTAGGCGTGTTTTGAAATTGGCTACTAAATAATGAAATTCCCTTTTTACAAGAAATTCCTTTACGATCGTAGTTTGCGAATTATGACGGTTCCGAAGAGGACATACTTTGAAAGCTTTCTTCAAATCAAGGAACATGAAAAAAAAACAATGTTCCGCTTTAGCTGAATGTGTGATTTGTGTTATTATGCGCATAAGTCACGACAGCAATCCATTATTTCGCTGTTACCAATCGCAGCTTCCAGCATCGTCTGATATGTATAATGTTACGTAGCTCTGGACACGCCGTAGTTGCTGTAATGCTGCTGCAAAAGAAAGTGGGTGACGCCCTTGCTGCAGATAAGCGCTTTGCGGGAAAGCGCCAACTAAAAAAATGCATTCAGTGGCACTAGAAAGCTGATAGGTGAGTGAAAATAACAAACCAGACTCATTACTGGCCTGCTAGTGCAGTCGACAGTTCGTTCCGCACCTATAAATCTTGCGGAGAGGCAGTCTCGCCCGCTTTCACGTATTTCGTTAAACTATGCGTTTAATACGATATCACACAATTTATGCCATAAGTTTTCAGTTTATACTTGAGGGGTTCATGAAGCTGAAGGTTCCATTGGCCTCAAATATCCCGTCGTGCTTTTAATGTATTTTGCTGTCAGTATAAATGGCACTAAAGCGATTTTTTAAGCTTGATGTTAAGTGTAATAAAATTTTTTTGTAGCCTGTACGTGACATGTTTTATTGCGGCGGACAACCGTGTCATATTAACGCAGCGCACAGGGTCACTGAGTGCAGCCGCCACGAGATTACCCGACAGTATCCGGACGAGCAGTGGTTATGGAATGCATGTCCCTACACGCGTCATCCTCATCGTTGCCACCTCTTTTCATTTCACGTGTATTCTGGTCCATATTCTTGGTAGTTTCATTTTCTCGGTAACCTTCATCCCTCTTTGGTGTTAAGTATTTCAGGGGGACCCGGGTGCCCCCTTCTTGTTCTAACTTCCCTGTCCTTCCTCATTTATTCCTCCTCCTCGGGTGGCCATCCAGCGTTCTCGATATGCTTATAATCTTAGCTCTCCCCAAGGACCAATTATTTCTTGGTCCCTTGCTTCTCACTTATTCTGATCTTGTTCTGAATGTCATTGTTGTTGATCGGCTTTTCATGTTAGGTACCAGCCATGTCCAGGATATTCCCTCGTATCTCCCACCTTCGTCAGTCCTGGCACATCAAAATCTTGCGTTCGCTGCTGTCATCCTGAATGATTAATATGTGGAATTTAACGTCCCAAAACCACCATATGATTATGCGTGACGCCGTAGTGGAGGACTCCAGAAATTTCGACTATCTTGGGTTCTCTAACATGCACCTAAATCTCAGCACACGGGCTTACATAATTTCCGCTTCCATCGAAAATGCAGCCGCTGCAGCCTGGATTCAATCCCGCCACCTGCGGGTCAGCAGCCGAGTACATTACCCACTTGACCACCATGGCGGGGCACTCATGTCATCCTGTATGAGTCGTTTTTAAAGTCATCGGTTACTGTATTCATCCTTGTTCAGTTTAGCTACAATGTCCAAGCATCCGGGTACACGGCACTGGTGGCACCTTACATAGCCTGGATTTTTCCTGGGTTGCCTGAAGGATGTAGATAAAAATGTAATCCCCCGAAAACCCGTATATTTTCTGGCTGTGCTATTAAGACATTCGTCCACCAATGTAAATCCCAACTTAATCCATCGTCATTTATTTGAACGACAATCCGCGATTCACACTTCACGCGAAACTTTTCGTCTTTGTTTGCTTCTTTTAACACGAGAGTGCTTTATTCCGGGTCCACCACGGTTCCACGGACGTATTTTTACCGTAAATACAATGTTGCAAATTGCAATCGAGTGAATTTTAAATTAAAAAAAAATGTGAAGAAAAAAGTTCTTTGGTGATCTCAAATTCCTCAGTACGCTACGCTGGCCACAGCCTGAACGTTGCTTTGCTTGTTTACGGCAAGCTTTTTATATATACACCACGTACCACCGGTGCTCCTCAGAGCCCAGAAACTGCAGCGCATTTTCGTCACCAGTAGTCAGATGGCGCGAGGGTTGGGCGTTAGGTGTGAGCGCTCTGAAGGTCTAAGCCCTGCGCCACCCCAGTAGCTGCGATGCGTGCAATCCTCCACATGGCGGGGTCAAAGTTCGTACAGATGTTCTCAGACATAGCCATGCACTCGCGCGTGCGCTTATCTCGGGATGCAGGCGCTTGATTTCTCTCGTGCTTCCACCGCAAGCTATCTTTGAAGTTATAGTGGTTAAAGAGAGCACGAAGGTTACTTCGCTCGCTGCCGCCGCCACATTTTTGAAGGGAGCGCCCTGCTCACATACAAAGTAAGAATTGCGACAGTTGTTTGCGCTCATTTAGGTGTATACTTCTGCGTTAGTTACATGCGCCTTTCTTACTGATTTAGCAGTGTGCGTTAAGTGCCGAGCTGTGACAGTTGTTCGTGCGCCCTCAGCTTGTATGTGTGCTTAATGGGCTGCTGGGTGTTCCTCGCGTGACTTTGCAATTTGTTTATGTAGCATTGCTTTTTTTGTCCATGAGATGAAACAACCCACAATAAACGCCCAACTACCTCTGTGACAGCCCGTTTCACCTACGTGTTATACCGATTTTTAAAGAGAGGGATCACCCACATTTTTCTTCGTGGTAGTCTCGGGCGAAGTGTCAAATATTGAGCTTTAACATCAAAGTCGATGACACTCAAGAAAACATTGAGAGTATACGGCTGCTGCGAGGCCCCTGTCTACAGTTCTAGTTCTCAAAAGGGACAAAATAGAGATGACGCCATCACAAATGGAACACGACGACACGCTCGTGCATTCATGAAATAGCTGAAATCGTACTATGAACATAAAGAAGTCGTAATAGAAAGGAGAATAGCGTAAAAGTAATTGCTGACCTGTGGCAAACTTATTTTCCCAAACGTCTTCCTCAACATTAACTTGACGTTCTATAACCTCGTGTAGCATAATTCGAACTACATCTATTCTACTGACTTTATTTTTTCATTCGAGGGTGTATGTATCTTCATTCTTATGGTGAATGCATTTGTGGTTTCAGGAAAACGATTATCTGCAGAAAACGCATTGTCAAAGGTATATCTTTTTTCTTCTTTCCTTACGGATAAAATTTGTTACCGCTTTTTTAAGAACGACGATTTAGCATTTACTTTTCCAGGGAACAAATCATGAGATAATTCTTTGCTGGAGTGTTCGTAACTTTTCTTATATACTAACCTCTAATGAAGGGCATAACAGTGTGCTAATAATATCGCATGACTCTGCCTAAAGTACGAAGCATTAGTGCTTACTTTTCCAGGGAAGTAATCATGAGATAAATTTTTTGCTGGAGTGTTCGTGACTTTTCTCATATACTATACAAGCCCACAATGAAGGGCATAGCAGTGTGCTAATAATATCGCATGACTCTGCCTAAAGTTCATTGTCATTTTGAGTTCTGTTAAGCACTTTTTTCTTAACTTTACATTTTGTTTGGCCCTTTCTTGGAAAGTTCTCCGCACAGAGCCCTTTGCGGAGGGTAGCCAAATGAAAATATGTGGCAGCACATATTTCCAAGCATAGCTTAACGTGGATGCTTTTAATAATATCACCACTTTGCAATTTCATCCTCATAAGTGGAACCCCACTTACGATTATTGTTAAAGCACGAACTAAGGACAATGACAACAAGGCACATGACGACGGGCGCTAACCTCAAAACCTTTTTTACCATTTTTACCGAGTCACAAATTCGGGCTATTACAGTCACCACGACCTACTAACTGCCAAGTAACCACCCTTTTGACTTACGACTGGGCATTAATAAGCAGTGTTACAACCTTTCATACAGCAAAAGCTGTTATTGATCAGGTGTCTGAGTGAACATGCCCTAGAAGTTTGAAACTCATTTTATGCTTCATTGCAGGTGCTTCTATGAGAAACGGGATATGTGGCAACCAGAGAGGAATTATTGTGTCTGATAATGGAAAGCCATATGAAAGTTACCCTACTTTAGCCCACGAAATAGCCCACACGTGAGTTTGCAAACAACTAATTGCATCAATAAATAGCAGCTGCTTATTTTTATCTGCAATAAAATGTAGACAACTTGCACTAATACACCCAAGAGCAGGTCGCACCTCCGCTTTGACCTGCCTTTTGGCGTATTACTGCAAGTAATCCCTGGCATGTTAAGTTGTTGCTACGTATTGTGAGGTGTTTTGTTTTTCTAAACGTCACCAGGTGTTCCTACGCATTGCTAAATATTGTATTGTGTTTCTAATATTACCTAAGTTTCAGTATTCTTCTAGTCTAATAAAAACCAAGTGGCTCTACCATTCCTCTCAGTCACCCACCTTGATGACCTCTCTGCATTAAGTCCTGCGCATAGTTGTTCGTAGCTGACTCTGGCAGCTGTAGTATTATTGGCTAAGCTAGGCTTTCACTAGTGCTTTGAAAAGGTGGAACAGAGGTTTGCGTCCCGTGCTCACCATGGGCTTAATACTGCGCATGTGTTTTCTAGTTGTGTTGGGCCTACACAAGGAGCCCACTGCACGAGTACAGAGGGGTACTCCCTGGATTTGGGGACATCTGTACCTGGTGCAATTTCTGTGAAAGTAATGGCGTCTTGTCATACCTGAATGGGAAATGGACAAAAATAACATCTACAAAGCAAAAAAGCCACATTATATGATCAAAACTCCTGAGGAGAAGAAAAGCATCACCCCCTTTCTCATATCAAGTCGGTGGCTTCACCCATGACGGGAGAAATTTTTAGTTTCAACGTGATATTGTGGGCCCTCTGGACAGCCTAGAGTCGAGTGTGAAGACTGCTGGTTTTCAGAGATGCATCCATTGGTATCTTCGTGATATTCGGAAAGGCATCAAGGGCAAAGTTCAGCCAGTGCATGTGATCGAAGGAACTCGTAGTTACATTTGGGGCATAACCGGGAATGATCGCGGTCTGTCCTAATAAGGAAGAAAGAAGTAGAATATGAACAGGTTCGCAGCAGTCTGATTGGGCTTGCCTGAGCGAGTTTCTAACACTTTCTTCTTGTTATATTCAGAACAGAAGCATTGGAACTTTTTGAAAATATTGCAGTAGCGTACCACAAAGCATATGGATGTTCAAGTAATCTCAACACCGCCTTTTGCAAACACACAGGGCCCCTTGTCAAATACTTGGAACTGCGAGAGTCAATAATATTTAGGGCCCGACAGTGTAACTTCACAAAAGTATTGAAACAGCTATTGGCTTTGTATATTCGTTGACCTTCAATGGGTCATATTAATTTTTTGCTACACTAACAAACGTGGGTGGTAATTTTTGCGGTCTATGTGCAACAACCAAATGGCTTAGACGAGTAATACAGAGCGAGAGAGAGAAATAAAGAACAAAAACAAGATATTGCCACAAGGCAGTAGTCGAATTGGAGCCTTAAGCGGTAGAGCGTGTCTGCTTAGAAGAAAAGACTACGAAGTGGATAGAGACTGGTTATTGGATTAGAGGCTACAAACAAACAAACAAACTGGTCCCAGCCCGCCAGTGTGTCAGCCATTACCATCACAAGTAAACATCGTAAATATCCACCACTATACGTTTCCTTGTAAGATTATTGGTGGAGGTGCTGGGTAGGTTTACCTGGATCTCCCGGCAAGGCAACACGCAACTTCAGAGTGTTCACCATCTTCAATTTCCTGTAATGGCTCGACAGGCCTACCCACAAGAGAAACAGCAGCCGCAGCAACAGTAGCCTCAGCAGCAGCAGCCGCAGCAGCAGCAGCCGCAGCCGCAGCAGCTGCCTCCTTTGATTCTCCTGCCTCCACGAGACCCCGGAACCTTCTCGGGCACAGGCAAGGACAAGGTGAACGTCGAAGATTGGGTCGCATTGTACGAGCGCGTGAGCGAATACTATATGTGGGACCCCGCGTCGATGCTGGCCAACGTTGTATTTTACTTACGGGATACGGCACTCACCTGGTATGAGACGCATGAGTCGGAGTTGATCAGCTGGAACATTCGCAAATGAGGCTTGTCGAGTTTTTCAGCAGGCCATTTGGGTGACAGCAGGCCGTGAGAAAAGACCTTGAAGGTCGCGTGCAGACATCGACGGAATCGTATGTATCTTATATGCAAGACGTACTGGGCCTCTGTCGAAAGGTGGACGACAACATGAGCGAAACTGACAAAATCTTCCACATATTAAAAGGAATTGCCAACGACGCCTTTAACCTGTTGATGATTAAAGATTGTGCCACCGTCGACGCGGTGGTGAAGGAATGTCAGCGCTTCAAGCACGCCAATAACCATCGTATAACCCACCAGGTTGCGCCCCTGCCTAATACTGCAGCCACTTCGACCTGCGAACACTGCCCCAGGTTCACGCCAGCTACATCATCCGAAAATGTCACCCGGATCGTTCGCCGCGAACTCGAAGCAATAGCTCCTGCAGCCATCGCTACCAACGGCCCTCATGATAACGCATTCACCGTCTCCCTCATCTAAGCCATCGTTCGCCAAGAAATAAATCTCGGCATCGAAACTGTTTGCGCTGTTCGCACTACGAAGAGTTCAGCTTCGGTTAACCAGATCCCGGTGTATCCTTCACGCTACCCTTCCCGCTACCGAAACCCTGCTGAATGGAGGACGTTGGATGATCGGCTGATCTGCTTTCACTGCTATCGCGCCGAACACATTGCACGCTACTGTCGCAATCGTTAGACGTCCAATTCATCCGGGAACACTGGGACATGGCGCCACTTTGAAGACAACTCTCGTCGGTTTTCTTCTCGGTACGATCCCCAGCCTACTGCTACTAACGTTCAGGGCCGAAGGTTTAGCCGGTCACCATCCCCCCAAGGCCGCCGATCTCTCTCGTTGATGATTTCTCGATCCAGGTCCCCTGCACGACCTTGTTGACCCTCAACATCGGGAAACTAGACCATGCAGCTCCCGGAGGTGACGCTGCATTAACGACCCGGTCTGCAAATCCTCTGTTCCTATACGCCGCAATATTTTGGACCGCATGATGGATTCCCTTCTGCGTAGCTTTAAATGGTCTACTTGCTTGTGCTACTTGGGTGATATAATTGTTTTTGCACCTACGTTCGCGAGCCACCTTGAGTGACTGTCCAGTATTCTCCAAGTATTCCGCAACGCTGGTCTCCAGTTGAACTCCTCTAAATGCCGTTTCGGCCATCGCGAAATAACTGTACTTGGTCACCTCGTTCATGCATCTGGGATACAGCCCGACCCGGACAAAATTCGTGCAGTGACTCAATTTCCCGTACCCTCTTCTGCTAAGGATGTCCGGAGCTTCCTTGGTTTGTGCTCCTATTTCCGCCCCGTCATCCGGAATTTTGACAATATTGCGCGGCCTCTCACCGAGCTTCTTGAAAAAGACGTCCCATTTACTTCGAATTCGCCTCAATGTGCTGCATTTTTGGCGCTCATTGCAGCCCTCAAGACTACGGCGATATTAGCACACTTCGATCAGACCGCACCGACAGAAGTTCGTACTGATGCGAGTGGCCACGGAATTGGTGCAGTTTTAGCTCAGCGTCAGCAAGGATGTGACTGCGTCGTCGCCTACGCCCGCCGCCTTTTGTCCCCTGCCGAGAACTATTCCATCACCAAAAGACAGTGTCTTGCTCTTGTTTGGACTGTCACTAAATTTCCTCGTACCTGTTCCGCCACAGTTTTACTGTTTTAACCGATCATCATGCGCTCTGCTGGCTTTCGTCACTCAAGGGTCCCATGGGACGCCTCGGTCGTTGTTCTCTCCGCCTCCAAGAATACACCTTCTCGGTCGTGTATCAATCTGGTCACCTCCATCAGGACGCCGACTGCCTGTCACGGTATCCAGTGGATCCGCCAGACGCCACAGAGAGAGCTACTGAGGCTTGCGTCTTATCAATATCAGACTTTCTTGATATCGCTTCTGAGCAGCGCCGCGACCCGGATTCACTTCCCATCATAGAAGACCTGAGTTCCGCTACTCCACCCACTTCTCTTAACCTGTATTTCTTTCATGAAGGGGTTCTCAACCGCCACAACATGCGCCCTAAAGGTCCTGACCGCCTTCTCGTCATGCCTTCCCATTTGCGTGTAGATGTTCTCCGACAGCTTCACGATGAACCTGCCGCTGGTCACCTGGGAGTCACCCGCACTTATGATCGCGTCCGGCACCGTTTTTTCTGGCCACGTCTATATCGCTTTGTGCAAAAGTATGTCGCCAGCTGCGACCTCTGTCAACGTCGAAAACGACCAAAATCGCTTCCATCTGGCCTCGTTCACCCTATTGAGATCCCTTCTGAACCATTCTACCGCGTAGGGCTCGACCTTCTCGAGGCATTTCCCACTTCTGCATCCGGGAACAAATGGGTTGCCTTGGCGACCGACTACGCGACACGCTACGCAATCACCCGCGCTCTCCCAACCAGCTTCGCTACGGATGTCGCCGACTTTCTACTGCTTGACATCATTTTGCATCACGGTGCTCCTCGACAGCTCGTTACTGACCAAGGCCAATATTTTTTATCTCGCATTGTCCAGGATCTTGTGCGTTCCTGTTCCACGAACCACAAGTTCACAACGGCATACCATCCACAAACTAATGGGCACACAGAGCCCCTGAATCGCACTATCACCCACATGTTGTCGATGTATGTTTCTCCAGATCACCACGACTGGGACGCAACGTTACCCTACGTCACCTTTGCTTACAACTCCGTCACCACCGTGAAGTTTCATATTGTCGCGGGTTATAAATTACAGGAGGTTTATTTAAAAACACAGACAGTGGAACTTGTAGAGACGCTCTCAGATAAGGCCGCTAAGATTGTCGTCTTCTTCAATTGCCTGCGCTGCGCCTCTCGAGCAAATCCTCGTTCTTTGTTGTCGTCGCTATCTCGCCGCTAAATGCAGCTATGCACGTGGCATTACCCTCCCGCCAGAGTGAGCGTCGTCCCGATGCTCAACAGGTAGAGATGCGGCCGGCGGGTGTTTACATCACTGAGAGTGGTAAAGCTTCAT